ACTACTACTACAACTTCTACCATTACTACTACTACACCTATTACTACTACTACTACTAATACTACAACTACTTCTACTACTACAACTACTATTACTATTGCTAAGGTAAAAATGATGATGATAATAATAATGATGACCATGACAATGATAAAGATGACAATGATGATAATGATTTTGTACGTAGATAAAAATGATGATGATGATGATAATGAAGGAGATAAAATCCATTCATCACTCAAATGAAAAACTCAACAACAACAACACAATTCAACAAAGTTAAAAAAGTATGCAAGTTCACTTGGTGGAACTCCAAGAATTCCAATTTTATTATCATTCATTTATTTCGTTATGGTTGAAATTATTATCATTATTATTATTCTTATTATTCTTATTATTCTTCTTATTATTATTATTATTATTATTATTCTATTATTATTATTATTATTATTATTGACATCAAAAGTTGTACCCATAGTCGCGATTTTGAAATACTGACGATTGCATGGCGGTACCGAGACCAATAAACGTTAACTCTGATGTTATTATTATTATTATTATTATTATTTTATTTTATTTTATTTATTATTTTATTTTATTTTATTTTATTTATTATTATTTATTTATTTTATTTTATTTTATTTTAATAGGTTTTAATTATACTCTTATCTTATTTTACTATATCTCATGTTTTTTCTGGAAATTATATTAATGTTATTATCTTACTATTGATTTTTGTCTTGTTGTTGTACACATACACACAAAAGCACACACACCCACACATACATACACACGCACACACACAAACAAACACACACAAGGTCACACACCTACAGACGTAAACTTTCACAAACAAACACACACACAGACACACGCACACACACGCACACACACAAACAAACACACAAACAAACACACACATACAGATGTAAACTCTCACAAACCTTGCCAAAAAAGTACAGACCAATGTTAGCGTGAAGAATATATTTGATCGAATGATTCCTATATTTTTGGATTTTCTGTCTTGCTAATCTGTCAATTGTGGCGCACATACACACATACACACACAACGCACATACAACACACATACACACACACACAATACACATACATACATAAATTCACTTACACACACATAAACACACACACACATACATGCACACAACACATGTACATATATAAATTCACACACACACATAAACACACAAATACACACACACACACACATACATACATACATACATCTATTTATTTAATTAAGCTCTGCCTCATTTACTGCTTTCAATAATTCACCCATACATGAATGCGCCGGGGCTCAATATCACGTGCATGGTGATGATGATGATGATGAGGATGATGATGATGAGGATGATGATGATGACGATACTCATACATTTACAACATCCATTTGCCTCAAAATATTATTATTTACCCAAAGCCTAATCTCTAGGTTCTACGTTAAAGCGTTATTTGATTGATTAGTTGCACCATCTTTTGAAATGGTTTTAGTAGGGTTTTGTGGAGGCCAGCGAAGCGCATGCATACAAACACACATATACATATATACATACATACATACATACATACATACATACATACATACATACATACATACATACATACATACATACATACATACATACATACATACATACATACATACATACATACATACATCCATACATACATACATACCAATAAAGGTTAGCTCTGATATTATTATTATTATTATGATTATTATTATTTATTTATTATTCTTTATTTTATTTATTAATATTTATTTTATTTTATTTTATTTGACACATACATACATATAAAAATACACACACATACATACATACATACACAGGTTTATTTGTATGGACAAATATATGAAATGTTTTTTTTAAATATAGTTAAATTTCTTTTTCACAGATTTAACCATAAAAACAACAGCAACGACAACAACAACAACGTCAACAACAACTACAACAACAACAACATCATCAACAACAACAACATCATCAACAACAACTACAACATCATCATCAACAACAACAACATTATCAACAACAACTACAACATCATCAACAACAACAACAACAACGACAACAACAACAACATTTTCACGGCACATAAGCCTGCAATATGTAGAGAAGAGATAAAAAACCGCCGCAATTAATATTTATTGTCGCCAGATAGCAATCAACAAAAACAAATAAAATTATTGTTCTTTGTTTTATCGATTGCTGCTATCCGTTTCTGTTTATTCTTTGTCTGTGATTTAGACTGCGATAATTGCTGTCATATGTCTTAATGTAACGGATTTGCAACAGCAGTAACAACTGTTGTCGTGACAGCAGCCACAGTAGTAGTAGCAGCAGCAGTAGTAGTCGCGACAGCAGTAGCAGTAGTAGTCGCGACAGCAGCCACAGCAGCAACAACAGAAACAGTGCCATCACTCATAACATCAATAATTCATGGCGTGAAGTAATGATCTGCGGAAATAACTGTGTTTTAAAAAATTCAGTCCAAAAAATTGCAGAGAACGTGATATTAAAAAAATCAATTTTTTTTAAACCACATCAACAACAACATCTGTAAAATTAACAACAACCACAGCAACAACAACAACATCAACAACAACATCTGTAAAATCAACAACAACCACAGCAACAACACAGCAACAACCACAACAACAACAACAACAACAGAAGCAGCAGCAACAACAACAACACAACAATGCTAGCATCAGTAAAACTTTTGCTGATGTTTTTAATCAACATTCTAATAATTTACACCATCAATACTAAACAACAAATAACATTAAAGCCGCAACAACATCAACAACAACATCAACAACAGCAACCCAGACGACTAAGCAAGTGGTTTAGATTATTAGAATTCATCCCTAAAACGACAGCTTCAAACGACAATAAAGCCATAAACTACATTAACAACAACAACAACAACAATAACAGCAACAACAACAAATACACAAGGATAATAACAACAAAGTATGGAAAGCTACAAGGCGTTTTGTTGGACGTTATACTGCCAAAATTGTTTCGCAAATCTGGAAAGTCTAAAAACAACAATGGCGACAACTCAGAGAAACACAACAGCAATTACAGAAAGGCCAAAAGTAAAATTTTCATTAACACCACCACCACCACCAACGACAACAACAACAACAACAACAACAACGTCATAATGATAGAAGCCTATTTTGGCCTACAATACGCTTCTCTGTTTGGTGGGCAGCTGAGGTTTATGCCCGCTAAGGGACCCATGGAAATCTGGTCTGGGATTAAAGTCTGTGTCTATCTCTGTCTGTCTGTCTAGATGTTTGTCTGTCTATATAGATGTTTGTCGATATGTTTGTCTGTCTATCTAAATGTTTGTTTGTCTGTCTAGATGTTTGTCAACATGTTTGTTTGTCTGTCTAGATGTTAGACAAACAAACATATTGACAGTCTAGATGTTTGTCAATATGTTTGTTTGTCTGTCTAGATGTTTGTCAATATGTTTTTCTGTCTATTTGTCTGTCTGTCTAGATGTTTGTCAATATGTTTTTCTGTCTGTCTAGATGTATGTCAATATATTTTTCTGTCTATTTGTCTGTCTGTTTAGATGTTTGTCTGTCTGAATGGATGGATATATGTCTAGATAGATGTTTGTGTGTGTGTGTTTTTTTATTTAGATGTTTGTATGTTTGTATAAACATCTTGGCAGAAGTCGTTTGCGCGACGATAGTACATTTAAGTGGTATGTTTGTTTGTATGTCTGGATGTTTTTCTGTCTGGACACTTGTCTATATATGATTGAAAGATGAATGAATAGATAAACAAATACAAATTATGGATGGATGGAGTGATAAAAAAATGAATGAATAAATGATAAGTTGTTTCTAAGTCTGGCTGTTTGTAAGTTCTTGGTTTGTATTTATGTTTGTATGTATGTTGTGTGTTTTATGTTGTATGTATGTTTGTATTATTCTTTTTAATCATACATTCAACCGTGCTGATATTCATTCATTCACATGTTTGTATTTGTCTGTCTGTCTGTCTGTTTGTCTGTATTTCTCCGTTTGTTTGTCTGTCTGTCTAACTGATCGTTCGTTCGTTGGATGGTTTGCTTGCTTGACTGTCTGACACTTTGTAACATCATCTCGTTATGAATAATAAATGAGACCCTTTTTGTTGTTGTTTTTTAGATTATTTATTTTTACATTACTGTTTGTTATCTGCGTAATATTAGCAATGATAATTGTATTAATAATAATAATATTATTATTATTTTTATTATGATTTTTCTTTTATTATTTTTTATAAATAAGGTGCCACCTGTGCTATTGAAAATTCTTTCGCAGTATTTGACGCTTAAAATTGCTAAACTATAAATCATGCATTAAGGATTTTTTCCATTTTCTCTCATTCGTTCGTTCATTTATTCGTTTTTTATTCATTTTTTACTCGTGTTTGTGCATTCATCCATCCATCCATCCGTTCATCTAAATACTCATTCATTCGTTCAATCATTCATTCATTCATTCATTCGTTCGTTCGTTCGTTCGTTCATGCATTATTCATTAATCTCTTCATCTATTCGTACATCATTCATTTGTTTATTCATTCATTCATCCATCCATTCATTTCTTCATTCATTTGTTCGTCCATTCTTTCATTCATTCATCATCATTTATTTTTCTATTTACTTTGACTTCCGTTTGATTTAAATTTTTCATTTCATAAAACATTATACGGTGGAATCACGGATTTGTTTATTTATTCATTCATTCATTCATTCATTCGTTCGTTCATTCGTTCGTTCGTTCTTTTATTCAGTCATTCAGTCACTCATTCATCTCCCAGATCGCTAACGTATTCAAACCAGTCTGTCCACAAAATGTTGTCAACAATGTTGAGATGTTGAAAAAGTTGCCAGTTGCTGAGTTCTTGAGACTGCAACATCTAAAACCATTCGTTGCCCAACAGCATGAAGACTGTCTCTACATGAATGTCTATAGACCGGTTCAAGGTTAGCTGCTGTTATAGTTGCTGCTATTGTTGCTGTCTATTGTTGAATTCTTGAAACCGCAACATTTGACACTTTTCATTGCGAAACGCTGTTTATATACAAATGTCTATAGACCGCCTCAAGATATTTTGTTGTTTTTGCTTATCTTGTTGTTATTGTTGCTGTTGTTATTGTTGCTGTTGTTATTGTTGATAGAAAATATAAAAGCTGGTTTTCTTCGAATATAACACTATTTTAACATCGTCATCATCACTATCATCATTATCATCATCATCAACACCAACAACAACAACAACATCATCAGTGACATCATCATTGACGTCATTCTCAACAAAAAGAACCAAGTTTGAAAATTGAGTTTTTGCTTATAATGGCTCAGCGCCATCAATTTCACGTTTTGCATTGCAGGGGATTTCGTCTCGTCTCGTTTCATTTCGTATCGTCTCGTTTAGTCTCGCTTGTTTGTTGGTTTTAGTTTCTCCTTTTTGTATGTTTGTGTTTTGTTCTATTACGTAGGTTTGTTTGAATTATTTTTATTTTAGATTTATTAACTCGAATAATTATTTTAGATTTATTAATTTTGAGAGGCCAGTAAAAATTTCATTCGTTTGTCCGTTCATCCAAATGCAAAAGTATTTTTGGATATGTATGTATGTATGTATGTATGTATGTATGTATGTATGTATTGTATGTATGTATGTATTGTATGTGTGTATCGAGATTTTAGTAAAGAAAGACAAACACATGGTTGCTTTTATTTGAATTCACTCAAAAATGAAAAATGACGGTTAATTAAAATTTAAAAACGTCAATTTTTTAAAAATTCGTATTCTAAACAAACAAATATAACAAAATATCGACCGATAAAAAATAATTATACATTGTTAATATACACACTCTTTAGTAGTTCTCTGAGATTGATTCACGTAATAACATTTAGTAAGAACAGTTCACAGCATAACATAATGGCTAAATCAATATACCAAACAGTAAGAATATATACAAAATTAATCAAAAAATATCCAAAAATTATATAACCAAATGAAAAAAAACTAGAAACCAGTCAACATTTAATAAATAGACATTATTAAAAAGATTGTTCAAAAAGGTAAAAATATCCAAAAATTATATAACCAAATTAAAAAAAACTAGAAACTAGCCAACATTTAATAAATAGACATTATTAAAAAGATTGTTCAAAAAGGTAAAATTTAAGGCGACGGCGAAAATGAAATGCAGTTTGTTTTGTTGGTGTGGTGTTGTGAAGCGAAAACAAACAAACACATCACACAAAACTAGTAAGAAATCTCAAGAATAGTAGTCAGTCCCTACCTACAAATAAATTACTCTCACGTCCCTAGCTTACTTATAATGATTAACTCAACTCACCTACCTACAAATTTGTATTTCTACGTTTTAGGAATTTTACATGTTTTAGGTATTTTATTTAACATATTTTAGCGTTTTTATTTTACTTGAAACTTTTTAACTAATGTTAAGCCCTAGCCTACCTACGATTGTTCAACTCATCTCATTCCCTAACTTACCTATGAATTAAATTAAGTCCGATAAAGAAAATAGAAAGCTGAAGAGAAACATAACAACAACGACACCGAATGAATGGATGTTGTGTATGTGTGTGTTGTATTGATGTATGTATGTGTGTGAATCTGCGCGCGTGTACTCTCCAGAAATTTCTTGACTCGCTACTGACGAAGCTCCATTGCACCGACCATCATCTGACACGCACCGATGGAATAGTGAATTTGACCGGTTACCGAAAAACACTAAATTGAAAAAAAATTAATTCTTTAAAATAAAAAGCAAGCCATTGGGAAAAATAGGCAACTTATCTTATCGAGATGACACTCAATTCTTTGTTTAAATTTATTTATTTTCAATGGTAGTATGGGACATACAAAAATTTACCTTTAATATTGTCTTCAAATTGTCATCGGAACGATCATCATGAGACCATCATCATACGTAAATCATCATGAGACCACCATCTGAAACGTGCTGACGCCCACCACAGCCCACCTCTCATCGTTCTGTAGACAAGTTTTTTTATTACCTTAGTAGTAAATCAAGGAACAAAGGAACGAACAAATAAATGATTAATTAATGATTAAATAATTGGTTAAAAGAATGAATGAATGAATAGAATGAATTAACGTCAATTAATGGAAGAATAATTTGAAAGATTGAGTGAAAAAATAAATGAATAATAAAAAAAACGAAACTAAACCTTATTTCAAAAATCGTCGTTACTGTAATCCATTGCACCGACCACCACAATCAGGTCGGCACAGAAGATTTCATCCGAACTTCAGAGCGTCAGTCGAACAGCCAACGCGCTGATTCTTCCTACACCACCATCATCATACGTAAATCATCATGAGACCACCATCTGAAACGTGCTGACTCCCACCACTGCCCACCTCTCATCATCCTGTAGACAATTTTTTTTATTAGCGTAGTAGTAAATGAATGTTAGAATTTTAGAAGCAAAAAAGTATAAAGTAAAAATAATGGCAAATAAATAATATCTTAAAATAATAAAGAGAGTAAAATGTAAAAAAACAACTTACCGTCGTCCATTCGACAAAGGCAGAATGTTGAATGCTTTCCGGTTCCCACGTTGTTTTCCAAAACTGGTGCCAGTCCTCCTTGAGATTGTTGTTGAAACACAGCCCGTGTTGACGGAGAAAGATAGAGAAAGAGTAGATTCTCATCAGAAAGCTTAGCGGTGCATGCATCTCAAATTGCTTAATAAAAATAATCCTATCTACCTATTCAATTACCTTAACTAATCTATATTAAATTGTTAATGGTACGATAGTCGAAAGTCCCCCTTCATTCTCCCTCCTTGCACAGAGGTTCACCGACAGCCAGGGCACCGGATAGAAAACCATTGCCGTGCGGTTAGTAGACTATTGCCGTGCGGATAGTAAACCATTTGCCGTCCGGAAGCCGTGCGGGTAGTAGACTATGGCCATGCCGCTTAGTAAATCATTACCGTGCAGATAGTAAACCATTGCCGTCCGGATAATAAACCATTGCCGGTTCACCACTGGCCACCAAGGCTTACCTCTGACAAGAGACTTTGAAATTCAGAGTCTATCGGCTATCGTACCCTCAACTTACCTATTCATTACAATTAAGCCCTAGCTTACCTAAAATTACAAAACTCAAGAGCCCAATTCATTGGCCTTTCGGCACCCACCCCACCACCTACGTAATGCCTTGGGCTCCAACTTAGTAATAATAATATAAAACTTAAACCCTAAATCTATTAATGAATATGTGTTACAACGTAGCCTTAACTTACCTATTCATTACATTACGGCCATAGCTTACCTAAAATTACAAAACTCAAGAGCCCAATTCATTGGCCTTTCGGCACCCACCCCACCACCTACGTAATGCCTTGGGCTCCAACTTAGTAATAATAATAATGTAAAACTTTTAATTAACCTACCTATCAATACACTTACAGCGTTTTAATTTACATTACAAGATTGTTCCTAGAATTACATTATTGCCCTTAACTACCTATGAAATTAAATTACTCTCAACCTTAGTAATAATAAATTAGAATGTGTAATGAAAATAAAATTGCGCTCAAATACTAACATATGTGTTTATGTATGCAGTTGTGTGTGTGTGTGTGTGTGTAATACGCTGATGCGTGCAATGTGGGTGCAAGAAAAAATAGAAGCGATAAACTTACGCGCCTACCTATTCAACTACATTAGTGTTGGATGCTTCCTATCTATCCTACCTACAAATAAAATTATGCCTATCTAACCTACCTATATAGCTACTTAATGTAATTGTGTGTGTATGTGTGTGCGTGTATGCATTCCTACTTAATGTTAAATTACAGAGAAAAAAGAATAAAACGTAGCCCAGCCAGGCGTGTATTCTTTGCCACTGAATGAACGAACGTAGCCTGACATCTTCCATGATGAGCTCCTCTGGAAGCTTCAACCTGAATGAAATGAATAAAATGAACAAAACTTTTTTATTTAAATTAATATAAATGAAAATTGAAAAACGAGCCGCGGTGAAACCCGCCAGCAAAAAAAGCCAGCTAACTGGCAAAGAAAGGAACCGCAAAGAAACCGTAAAACGTACCCCTGTCAGGCGTGCATTCTTTGCCAATGAATGAACGAACGTAGCGTGACATCACAACCATTCTGATCGTCCACGATGAACTCCTTTGGAAGCTTCAACCTGAATGAATGAACCTGAATGAACCTAAATGAACCTGAATGGAAAAATCTTATTTATTTAATCAATTTAAATGAAAATAGAGAAATGCAAAGAAGCCGACCGGTCGGCAAAGAAAAGAACCTCAAAGAAAGGTATCTATATAGGATTTATGCTCTATATAACTCTATATAACTCTATATAACTCTATATAACTCTATATAACTCTATATAACTCTATATAACTCTATATAACTCTATATAACTCTATATAACTCTATATAACTCTATATAACTCTATATAACTCTATATAACTCTATATAACTCTATATAACTCTATAACTCTATATAACTCTATATAACTCTATATAACTCTATATAACTCTATATAACTCTATATAACTCTATATAACTCTATATAACTCTATATAACTCTATATAACTCTATATAACTCTATATAACTCTATATAACTCTATATAACTCTATATAACCATGCATACTACCACATTCAATCAATAAAAATCTCACTAAAACCAGGAACCACCGCGTACCTGTTTTATGTATGGTGTGAAACAAAACAAAAAAAACACAAAACAAAAAATACACCACCAAGTAGAGTAAAAGAATAGAAGTCCCTAACCTACCTATGTAACTAAATTATCTTATGCCCTAACCTACCTATATAATAAATTAATTTTTAATCTCACCTACCTATGTTTCATTAACTTAACTCAAGACTCATGAAGAAAGAGAAAAAAGAGTAAAACAGAACATAAAATACT